CCCCCCCCCGGGACGGATCAGGCCCCCCCCCCTGGCCCGGGCACGCGGCCAAACCGGGGGTGGGATATATGGGGCATACCCCTCGCCCTAGACAGCCCTTGCTTTGGTTTTATTCCACGCCGTTTTTGCAAAACAAAAGCGAAAAAAAAATTATCACACACACACATACCTACCTGATTCTGGATGTCACGATGGATCATTTATAAATCTGAGTATGTTTAATAAGTGACAACAACTTTTAATGACCGGGACGGAGATTTTAAGATACCAAATCTTTTGCTTCTTCAAAAAAAACCCCCCAAAAACCAAACTTTACTTTTCTAGTTTTGAAAGTTTTGAAAGAGCTTGATGGGGTTTTAGCAAGCCAGATCGCCTGTTAAGAAGACGGGAGGCTGCATCTAAGGCTCAAGACGTTTCTCATTATTGGTTGAGATGTCCAGTTTATAGGGTCACCCCCAGGAGCAAATTCCTTGCAAGCAGGCTTAGGACTTTGTGTGACAGCCCCCCCCCCCCCCCCCCCCGCCCCCGCCGCCGCCAAACCCAAACAGTCATCAGCTCCACTCAGGGTGCGCGCACGGATGGAAGCCTCCGCAGAGCGAACTGGCAACATGTGTCCGGGACATTCTCAGGGACGCAGAAGCAAGTATTCGGTTTGCGGGCAGGGATGTCAGGACTACCCACCAAGTAGCGAAATTCGCCCTGGCAGCCAAGAGGATTCCTGCCAAGCCTCAAAAACCCTAAAGAAGAAGGGAAGTCACGCCTCCTTTTTACAAGAGAAATTGTGATATGACTACATATCACTACATATGTTTGATGCGGCCATTGATAGATTGCAATGACCTATGGTTTTAAGCAGTTAAACCAGCAAAGAATTTAAACTACTGTAGTTGTTTAATCGTTTTTTAATCAGGATTTTATTGTGCTTTTAGTTTTACTGTACCTGTTTTCACGTTGTGAGTTGCCTTCGGTTCCTTCGCTGGGAGAAAAGGGATCTACAAATGATCTTCGTGTGTGTGTGTGTGTGTGTGTGTGCGTGCATGCACGCGTGCACACACACAAACACATACACTTCTTTCGGCACGCGCGCACACACACACACACACACACACACACACACACACACACACACACACACAGAGTTATTTTGTCGTCAACCTTAATTTGTGACCTTAGCTCCCATAGTGGCCCTAAAGACTGATATGGTCTCTGTCAGGGATTTGGAGACTATGCTTCTGTTAATGCATCCTAATATTGTATTTGCCTTTTTCGCAGCCACATTACACTGTTGGCTCATATTCAACTCGTTGATCTACAACAATTGCAAGTTTCTTCTCCTTTGTAGTATTACTGAACCAAGTATCTCCCGTTTTGTAACTGTGTGTTTAGGTGTTTTTTTTCCCCTAGGTGTAGAACTTTGCACTTATCCTTGCGAATTTCATTCTGTTGTTTTCAGCCCAGGATAATCACACCCTTTTTGAGGTTTGTTCCTGTCTTCCATGAGTAAACCTGAAGACTCCCCTTCCTGGCCATGCTAGCCACCTGCTTAAGGTGAGTTCCCTCCCACTTGCTTTACAGGCAGCTCTCCAACCTGCATGCATGCTGGTTCCTGCCTTACCTCCACCACCGCACTCTGGATGCCCTGAGACCAGACCTTTGCTGGGAATCATGACTCAGTGCATGGAGTAAAGCCAATGTTCACTTCCTGGAAGGTATACTGTGGTTCACCTGGATTTGTAGCTCCGAGCTATGAAACCGAAAACATATACCACGGCTGAATGCGGAGAATCCTGCCCCAAATTTTCTTGATGGCTCTGAGAGTCATTTCCAAGGACAGTAATGGGAAAAGCCCACCAGCTCTCCTAGAAGACTAAAAACTTATAATACGTGAGTAATCAACACCTGCCCACCTGTACATACATAAAGAGACACCAGGGCGTCTTTTTAGCCAAGTGGTTCGTAGGAAGGGTGTAAATCACTTCTGATGTAAATTACCCATTCCACAATAAGGTTGATCAGTGTGTTGGAGGGCAGGTTTAATCATCGGAACCCAAGACCTTGGGAGGTGATGAGTTCTCCAACTCTGGAGGCCATCAAGGGGAAAACGGCCCACCCTCAGTGGATTCCTGCATCGAGGAGGGAGTTGGACTAGATGGCCTTAAGAGGCCTCCTAGAATCCATCATTCCAGGATTAAGAAAGCAACTTAGCCATGTGAGCCATGAGAAAAAATTTAAAAGCCACAGTCGGTAATGCTTTAACTACTTTTCTTTTTCTTTTATTGGGCCACTAAGATCCCCCTCCCCCCCAAGACTAAGAAATTGAGTTTTTTTAAATCCTCCAGAAACTTCACAGAAATATGGGCAGCTGAAAACATAAATGCTGAGAATTCATCCTGGCCAAATCTCATAATGATATTGATATGCTACCAAGTTGATGATAACTGGTTTGTGGAAAGTATAAAGGCCTTGGGAGGGGGTCTACCAGCTCTTCCTTCTGATAGGGCTCTGGGACAGTGCAACCTGGCCAAGGCTACATGGGGGACAAAGCATGTAACCCCATCATCCTCACACACTCCAGGTGATCTCACCTGTCCTCTCCAACCCACTGAGCTACCCCAGGTTCCCCAATCCAATGTGAGTCTCAACTAGAGCCAGCCTCCTGAAATCCATTAAGTCTTACGCAAGATGTGACTAAGAAATCCCATTTGTTTTAATGGGACTCCTCTATTGGTTTTGGCCTTTTGAATCTAATACCCATTTTGCTTTGACACTTCTCTTTGGCAGGTAATCCTTCTGGAGCTTTCCATGATGTTTGAATGGAATCCATGGCCACGAAGAACCAAATTCCTCCCTGCCCTGCATGAGAAGAAGTGACCGAAGTTCTTTATCCGTTCCTGATGCCCTTGCAAACCTTTGTAGAAACAAAGAGATGGCAGGATGTCCAGAGAGCGCCCTTAGCTTGCCCCCCCACCGGCTGACCTCCCCAGACAGGTCACATCCGTGCTCCAAAATGTCCAAGAGCAGTCTTTTCTCCAAGCCCACCCACAGATATTGAGGAGGAACATTGGGCGGGATCCTGTCCCTGCAAAACCACCTCAAGGCAACCATCTCTCCAGAAAGAAGTACTTCTGGGGAACACAATCGAGAGCCTTGATTCAGTAGAGAAGTCCCATGGAGGAGGAGAGACAATAATCATCACCAGGCACATCCACTGTGTCAGACATATGGAAACGGGTGACATACATTTCATTCAACATTTCAGGTCTGTTTTT